CACACATATGATAGAATGCTTCAGGAAACCAAGCTTGGAGAAACACTTGATGAAAGTTCTATATAACTATAGTGTATAGGCTTTGGCCATATTCAGTAATTAATTAAATAAATTCACACTGGAATAGTATTCCTATAACCACCACCTTCCTTGTTATCAGCAGGTTCATCCAAAATTTTAAACTTACAGATGTGCACACATACATCACGAAATTAAAGTGAACAACAACAGTAAAACAAAAGCAGTTTTCTTAATTTATTTGTGTTGAATAAATGACATAGTTGTCTACCATATTTTGAATGTGATCTATAATTTCAAATTAAAGTAAGCCTCGTCTCTTAGAGATCCTTTTAACTAGGTTACCTGGTGCGGTAGTGGTTTGTGGGGTGTCTAAACACTTTAGTTTGGGGCGACCCATTTGGGGTAGGTTTAGGTACAGTTTTCTAACATATATGGATTGAAAAAAGAGGGTTGTTGAGCCTTAACCTATAAGTTGTTGGCGTATAATTCTCTGCATTCTTTACCATTTTAAACCGTTGTTGATGCATAATTTATAAGCAATGTCTGCATTTTAGTATATATTTCCGATTGATAACTTTGATAATGAACCACACAGCCATATCTTGGTCCTCTTGAATGACCCTAGCTATCACATGTGATTTAAATACACACTCAAAAACTATTTAATGAAGGCATAACATATGAAGTTAAAGGAAGAGTGAGGCTAAAAAGGAAATAAAAAAAAGAAATCGGGCAAATCTGTAATTATCAGAAAACGAGTAATAGAAAACCCGTTGTAAACGGTCCTATCTCCAAGACTCTTCAAAATATAATTTAAAGACATGCTCTCTTGATGTCTGACAAGGTCCCCCACCATCAAGCCACAACAAACATAGTTGTTGATATAATCAAAAACCACTATCATCAACATTACTCGTAATGTTGTGTATGTTATTTTAGGTTAATCGTGTTACTCAATTTGAGTTTGAAGTGGTGGACAAAACATCTACAAGTTTTGTTGTTGTGGACCATTACGCTTACTGATGCACGTTAAACTAAAAACAATTGATGATAGTGCAACACGCTTTCCCCCCACATAGCATAGGCAAAGCATCACGTTTCGATTGCACCGGCAGGATGACAGAACTTGTAGCAACGCATCCCCAAGGTCCAATAATCCCACTAGCACCTACCAGCCTCAACTATGCAGCATATTGTTGACAAGGGTCAAACCTGTAACTTGGCTCTAATACCATTTCTGGATCACTGCGCTTACTGCTATACTAAAAGCACCCACTGATAGTGTAACCTTCCCAGGTTCAATACTCAATGAAGTGAGTTTCATCTCAGTTTATCTCATGCCCCCTCAGTCCCCCCCCCCTCCCCCCCTCCCCCCCCCCGGTTAAAAAAAAGTGTAGCACACCTTCCCCCACGTATAGAACATGTGAAGCGCCACATTTCGATTATACCGACAAGGTGGCATAACTGTTGGCACTGCATCCCCATGGCCCAACAGTTGTTAATCTTTAAGAGAAAACATCTCTCATGTTGTGTGTTTCAATTAGAGCAACTCATACGCATTTATGGTGTTGCAGCAGTTGGTCAGTGTTGATGATTGTCATGTTGTGACTAGATCTCAGTGTTTTACTTCACACTTGAGTGAGTTACTATTTATAGTGGGGGTGGTGCATCCTATTGGTTGTTTCTTTGACTCGGACTTTCCTGATTATATGCAATTCATAACGTGCAAGCCACCTACATGCATCAAATTCCAACCCAACAAACTCAAAGAAGAAGTGTTTGCCTTTAGCTACAAAATTTTCTTTTTGTGAGCGGCAATGGTGTTCGTGGTGTAACAAAGGCGGGCACAATGAGATGCCTTGTAGGAATCCTATTCCAGTCCATAGTTATTAAATTCACAATGTCCTTTCACTTCCAATTTCTTTCATCAAATAAGTGTTGTGAGACTTTTAGTTTTTTTGTGCTCACATTATTTAATTGTCATGGTTTATCAAAAAATGGAGCTTATATTAGTTGTAATGGTTTATATTGAAATTGGATATCATGTTATTGTTTTGTTCGTACCCAAGTTTAATGAGTAATAGTTTTTTCAAAAACTAGTAGACATCTTTAGAATTAATGTCTTTTTATCATCTGATAATTGGCCGTCTCATTGGTATATATTTAATGCCTACACAAAAATGCATTTAACATATAAAATTTGTCAACTCAATACGCTTTCCATTTGTTCCATTATCTTCAAGTCAAATTTTCGATTTAATATGGTTGGTCTTATGGGGGGATCAGTCACACCCTTTGATTCGAGGCATAACCCTTTAATTAGTCCTGACCTCTGGCACCACGATGTGGTGCAGCCTCTCACGTCCATCCACCGCTCAATAATGGGGTTCTGCACTGCTGTAGTGAGTTGTAGGGTGCTCAAGAGGAATCTACTTCTACTTGGTTACTATGGAGCGATGTGTTAAATACACTTTGTCCACCTCTTTATCACCAATTGAATTCAAAAAGGATATGGATGATATTTAACCATAGAACTCTGTTGTTTAGTGAGTGCGGGGGGGGGGGGGGGGGGGGGGGGCAGGAAATCTCAAGGATGGGTGATCCACTGGAAATGCTTGTAAAATTGAGCGAATTGATCTTACAAATATGTAAGTAGAACCGTTGTTTTAGTTGTCCACGTTTAACACTCATATGTTTTAAAGTCCATCGATACTTTAAGAGCTTTTACCTCTAAAGCTATAACTAATTTGTGTACTTACTTTAATTACTTGTAGTCATTTAAACTCTATATTTATTTTATTAAAGACTTACACTCAAATGTTTGAAATGTTGACTGTAACACTTATTTAAGAACAGAGGTAGTATATTACAATTTAAAGTGAACTCAACACGAAATAATAATAAAAAATTAATGGTCATCTTGTTTGAGACAGAAAAGAATATTATATATTATCATATACCCATATTTCAAAACAAATAACTCATACATAACAAAAATATTTAATGAACAAAAGAAGGAAGTTGTACATCTTAGACCACCTACTAATTCATATATATTACAAACAATCTTAGTCCACCTGCTTTCTTCATGACGCATGCATCACCAGCACAATAGTCATTATGCTACGTATGATGACACCATCCTTGATTTAGTTGCTAATCAAAGAGCTCTAGTTTAGTTATTTATATGATATATTAAAACTCTAATTACCATACACCAATGAATCCCCTCAATATCATGACAGAAAAAACGAAGAAACATTAAGAAAGCAATACTTTTAGTTATCACCTTCAGCTTGTTGAATGAACTATCCATGACTCTCAATACTTCAAGAGGATAAAATTGATCAGTGGAATCCGATTACAATTATGAGGGAGCTGAGAAGACGAGAGAGAGAAACTGCAGCTCCAATTTCAAAGCAAAACTTTCCTCAGAAACCTCAACCTTCTTTGGAATCCGATATCAATTCACATGAAGTCAGCCCTCACCATCTGCATCCGGTTTCGCCCTACTTCCCTGTGTGCACCGCCGCCTCGATCCAAGATGTGTTGAGGTCGAACGGATCTCCGTTCAGGCTTATCCCGAAGAAGGTGAGTAACTATAACTTGTCGAAGACAGGGCTTCTAGAATTGTTCCTTGAAGGGCCATGCTGGACCAAGTTCAATTTGAAACATCTCACGACAGTCTCACCAGCACCAAAGTCTTGAAGGGTTGTGGCTATCTGTACTATAGAGTACGTGGTCAGGACCAATCGCTCTCACAACAGTCTTATCGGCACCAAAGGCTTTCTCCCCAGGAAGAGCTCTTCGTTTAGCTCCCAGTCAAAGGCGTCATCGGCCACGATCCCTTAAAATTATGTCTTGGAAAGTTATTATGATTATGTCTTATATGTGTAATTTGACGGCACTAAAGTCATGTGTTTCAAAATAAATTTCACTACCAGCACTAACTATAGTAGTATAATGTAGTAGAGTTTGTATCTACAGGGAAATATATTTCTTCTTATATGAAATTGTAACAAAAGCGGAGTTTGATTTTTTTTTATTTGAGAAGTATTTTAAACACTAAGATGAATGATTTATGTCATTATAATTAAATGAGACAAGGGTTTGGTTTTACTACTTTCCAGTTGTTGAAATGTTTATTGATCCCGGTTATTTCTTCAACTATCCCTTCTCGAATATTCAATCGTGGAGTATATTCACTTCATCAAGGATAACTACTTATGAGATGATCCATGATTAATTAACCACTGCTTCGTTGATTGTTTTAGTAGAATTTAATGTTAAAGCGTTTACGAGAAGTACTTATGAGAAGTACCCCCCGCTTTCACCAGGAATTTCACTCCTAGTACTTGGGGTAAAATCAGTGCCCCCACTTCGGGCCAGGAATTTCACTACTAGTACTTAGGGTAAAATCATTGCCACTAACCTGTATAAAAATTATCAGTATTAGATAATTAAGATACTACTACCTCCGTCCCGTTGAAAGGTTCGCATGGCAAAACGGCACGGTTATTTAGAGAATAATTAAATAAGATAGTTCGAGTATATTTTGAGAAATAATTTTAATAGGTATATACTATAATGAGGTCAGTATTGATAACTGTGATGTTATAAATGTATTATTTTTAATATTCAATGATTAATTTGTCATTTAAGGTTGTTAATTGTTTCCTAAAATTGAAATGAGAACCTTATATGCGACGTCCAAAAAAGGAAAGTGGGAACCTCTCTATGGGACGGAGGTAGTAAAATGTTACAGTTATATGAATTAAAAGTTAATACACAATATTTAAATTTTAGCTGAATTAAAATAAAAGATATAAATTTCTCAAAAAAGGAGAAAAAAATAGTGAAGGGTTGAAAACGAAAAGTAACGCAAAAAGTTACTCGTAAAATTTTAAAAGTAACAAGTAAAAGTTTAAAAAAAAAATCCACTAATAACTCACTAATACTCTAGAAGCCAAAAGGGGGAAAACCTCCAAAAACTAAACCCTCACGGATGGTTTACACACTGGCCTCTCTCTTTGTGGACTTGTCGCTGCCTTGCTAAATTGCCGCTGCAGCGCCGCAGCGCCCAATGGCGCCTTCATTTGTAAGTTTCTTTCAAATTTATTTCTGTGCCTGCAACTTTTTTAATTTCACTCAATTGCACGATTGGCCATTGGGGATTATTTTAAAAATTATAATTTTTAATAATCAATTAATCAAGAATATTGGGGATTACTTGTTTACTTGAAATTTGATAGTTTGAATTTGTGAATGCGCCCTAATTAGGGATTAGGGCTCTATTTGTAAGGGTTTTTTCAAATTTTAGTGAAATAATTAGGATGCAAAATTGCTTTAATTAGACTTCAATTTATTTGTCTTTTTTATTAGGAATATGAGTTTGGATAACTTTGTAATTCGGAGTAAGAGGTCTTTAACTCGAGGAGATAGTTCTTCGAACGTTCCTAATCAGTCTATCTCATGCGATGCAAATGTTGTTGTTTCGAATGTAAGCATTGTCCGAGATGAGTCTAATGACATTAGGGGAGACAAAAGAACCTGCACAGATAGTACGTGTGAGTGGGATATCATTAGTGATCACGCATTATGAGAGCTAATCATTGAATATGAGCCTCGAGTAAGAGATGAAGCGATGAGAGCGTATGTCGTTAAAGGTGCTTATCAACCGTTGTCTCATGATTTTCCACGAACTTTATTTGAAAAAAAATGATATGTTTTCGAGCATAGTGGTTTGAAAATTGGGAATGGTTGGAATATAGTGTTTCTAAAGATGTTGCATTTTGCTTTTGGTGTTACCTTTTCCATGGGGTAGAAGGGAGGAGATTTGGAGATGATGTATTTGTGAGGAACAAATTTCGTAATTGGAAGAAAAGTCCGGAAAAGTTTAGAGCCCATGTAGGAGTTGTAAATAGTGCACACAATGATGCCAGAACACGAATTTTTTGCTTTCAAGCATCAAAAGCAAAGCCTTTCAAGAAGTGTGGCTTCAGGAATACAAACATTAGTTGCTGCATACCGCATTCGTTTGAATGCAAATGTGGATTGTGTTAGATTTTTTATTTCACAAGGGTTGGCTTTTTGTGGGCATAATGAGAGAGAAACTTCATTTAATAGAGGAAATTTCTTGGAATTGCTTGATTGGTATAGTGCATGCATTATTGATGTTGAGAAGGTGATGAAAGAAAATGCACCATCAACCACCAACTTACTAGTCCTAAGATTCAAAAGGGTATTAATAGTTCTTGTGCATCAGACATAACAAAAGTCATAGTCAAATTAGTTGTATTAGTGACAAACTTTTTCTTTGTTGATTGATGAAACTCGTGATAATTATGTGAAAGAGCAAATATCAATTGTTGTTAGATTTGTAAACAACGGCGGAGTTGTTTTGGAGCGAATCCTTGGAGTTAAACATGTTGTTGTTGACACTACTGCACTTTCTTTGAAAAGTGACATTGATGATTTTTTGTTAAGCGCGCATGGATTATCTTTGTCCATAATTAGAGGTCAAGGATTTGATGAAGCTTCTAATATGCGAGGTGAGATTAATGGATTGAAGACTTTAATCATGAATGAAAATCCACACGCAAGATGCATTCACTTTTTTGCTCACCAATTGTAATTAGTTGTTGTGGCTGTGGCACAAAAAATAAGTTTGTGATTGACTTTTTAAAATATTTGTCCATGATTACTAACATGGTAGGATCTTCTTGTAAAACAAAAGACGAGTGTCAGCAAAAACAACATGAAGCCATGGTAGAGATGTTAGAAAAGGGTGAACTTACAACTGGGAGAGGGTTGAATCAAGAAAGTAGTTTAGGTAGGCCAGGAGCTACACGTTGGGGTACACATCATACAACCAATATTCATATTCTTTCTATGTGGTCTGCTACTATTCAAGTTCTTGATAATATATTGGATGATGGAACTGAACTAAAATCAAGAGGCGCCGCTAGTAGCTTGGTAGAAAAGATGGAGAGTTATCAAGTTGTTTTTATAGCTCACTTGATGAAAAAAGTATCGGGATTGACGAATATAGTGTCACATTTCTTGCAATAAAAAGATCAAAACATTCTCAAGGCTGTGAGTTTACTTAAAAGCACTAAAGCTAAATTTCAAGATTTGAGAGAAAGTGGATGGAATGATCTCTTGGAAGATGGCAATAGCTTTTGTGTCAAGAACGAAATTGACATTCTTAACATGGAAGAGAAGAATCATTGTTCTAGAGATGCTCGTCACCCGATAACAAATTATGATCACTTTCGAGTTGATATATTTTGCAAGGTGCTTATTATTATTATTATTATTATTATTATTATTATTATTATTATTATTATTATTATTATTATTATTATTATTATTATTATTATTATTATTATTATTATCGTTGTTGTTGTTGTTGTTGTTATTATTATTATTATTGTTGTTGTTGTTGTTGTTGTTGTTGTTGTTGTTGTTGTTGTTATTATTATTATTATTATTATTATTATTATTATTATTATTATTATTATCAGTATTATAAGTATCATCATCATCATCATCATCATTATCATTATTATTATTATTATTATTTGGTGTGTAGCATATAACGGGCACGCAACTATTTTTTACCCAAGGAAGTAGGGTGTCGAACCACAGAGAAGCGGGAAATAAAATAATTAAACACAAACTAAGGATTAAAGTTGGGAATGCGTTTCTTTTGATTTTTGGTTGCTTGGAAAAGTAATAAAATAAAAGTGATTGAGATGAGAGATTTTTATCAACACAAAGTTCAACCAATAGCAAGTAGGGGTAGAAATTGGTAACTAATTGTTCAATGTTTAATTGAAAGAAATAATTGTTAATTTTATTCTTAGATAGATTGTGAGAAGTTGTAGATAAATATTTTAGGACCCAACACAAGTCATCTAAAATAAGTAACTAGTCAACATTTCCCAGTGATGGCCAAAACGAGACTAGTTGTTTAAGTGCAACGACAACCTTAATGATTAACTATATTATTTACCCAACCCCGTGGTGTAAATAATATAATTAAATAATTAAATTCTCCCGTAAAACTTAAATCCGGGACAAGGTAAAGAAGTTTAACAGTGTGTTCAGAAAGTGTTCATTTGTGTATTTAACAAACAATATGTTTATGATTGAGTACTCATGATATATATCCCAAACACAACATGATTAATTTTCTGGACACAACAATCTAAATAGAACAAACTTAACAATTAAAATCAATACAAATTAAAACATGATAAGAACCATTAATTAACCAATTTCTAGCCCCAATTTATTTAGCTATACATGTTGAGAAGCATAGAAATAGATGAATCAATAATTAAAGTACAGGATTTAATGAGATAAAGAAGATCAAACTTGTGATAGATGACAATCCTTGGAGCTTTGGTGCTAATCTTGACTTAATCTTGGATGAGAAAGTGATTAGTTGTGGTTGAAGATAGGTTGATGATTTGGAGTTGAGAAATGAAGAGAGGAGGGGGAAATGTTTCTGGGATGAGTAGTGAGAGAATGGCTCGAGATTCTGTATGGAAGGAGATGGATTAAGGCAATATAATGATAAGATGATTAATGATTAACTGCTAGAATTTACGGAGCATATAGTTTATGTACAAAGAAGCGCAGTAAAGTTCCAACAGTGCACAGCAGCCCAACGGACGAAGTACTTAAGCTGTTGCAGAGGTCACAAGCAATATACAAACCGCCGGCTGATTATGTACAACATTGACAATTTAGCTCACTGGTTCTGATTGGCATTCCTCTACCCTTTGTTCAGGGATCAAATCCCAACTTCACCATTTCTATTTTTTGCTTCTTTTCTTCAAGTATTCAAGATGAGACTGTCACTACAAGAAAAAGGATTTTTAACGACCACCATATAACCACAAGTCTAAAATATTGTCGTCAAAAGTTTCTATTAACAAGGACTAATGATTTCGTCGTTATTAAAATTTAACTTCAACGACCAAAATGAGAAGTCGTCATTATTAATTAATTTGTAGTCATCGTTACTACTTAATAATTTTTTTCTTATATATCATTTTAAAATTTTCATTGAGGCAAAAATCAAACAATTTGATAAAATTTTGAATAAGATTAATTGTACGGAGTACTCTTTCAGTATGCCGCCAAAATTTTCTAAACTCTTTTCGACGTACCGCCAAAATCGATTAGAAAACAAACCCTATGTTCCAATTTGTTTCATTCTCGTCTCTCGTATTGAAGTATTCAAGCCAAACCTGCGCCGCATTCATCTCTCTGAAACCAGACCTCGCCGCCTTCGTCACTGAAGCCAGACCTCCCCGTCTTCGTCTCTCATACTCCGTCAATTCCGATGAACTGTTTTGACTCAGAAATTCCACGATTCAGTCGCCCTATACAGGTACGTTTCCCCACTTAGGCTGGCCCAATCTTCTTAAAATCGTTAAAACCCTCATTAATCGACAAAACGCAGGCAAGCAGTCGAAAAGTGCCTGGGTTTCGAGAAGCGAAGTTGCGTCATAAAGTCGGGCTTTTCCGGCGCTATTTTTGAGCTCCCGTAATCGAAAAGAGGTGGCCTGTCAATTAGTTTTTTAAAAAAAGAGGTAGGGTTGTCGGGGTTGTCAAGGGTTACCAATTGGGGGTCGTTCGACTCGATCTTTCTGGACTCTAGACAAAGCCGTCTGTAAAGAAATGGCCGGTGAGTGCGCCCAGACAGCCTGGCTTCGTTGTCTATCTCGACCACTCCAGTCTCCATGTGTGAGTTACTCTATTTTTGTTGATATTGTGATTGAAAAAATTAAGTACTCTGTTTCCAGAACACATTTTTAACCTACTATGTGTTTTTTTGTGATATTTTGATTGATATTTATGAATGGTGGTACAATAATTCAGAAGTTTAGAAGCATTTGAAGTGTATATCCTTAATTAATAATTTTATTATGAAGTAGTATATTTTGTCCCCTGGTATTGCCTTATAAGTAAATTTAAGTCATTACAAGTCATTATATGTCATTATTTGCAGTTAACAATTTCTCTGGTCATTTGCCTTTACATTTCTCTGTTTTGAATAAAGTTCAAATTTAATCTTTTAGAAGGTTCAAATTAATTAATCTAAATAGAAACTTAGATATGGTAGCCTCGCTAACTTAACTACCTCAATATGGTAGATTTTAATCTTTGAATATCATATGGTAAGACCTTTCATATATATAGCAGTAACAATAATTATTCGTTGTGATGGCATTATCTGTTTTTCCATCATATTAACCCATTGTATTCAATCGGTAACTTTAATTAGTTTTATTACATTAGTATGAAGTTTTATTAAATCAGTATCTAATTTTTTTACTTGGGAAAGATTATATTAAATAGAACTTAAAAAGGTAAAGCTGGTACAGTTTTAATGCCTAAAAAGTAGTATGACATCATGGGAATCGTGTAGGAAGAGGGCGACATTGGTGTTCATGGGAGATAGCAGGCTGATGTGCTGATCCAAGCTGAGGAAATTCAGAATTGTAGTTCAAAGCAGGTGCATACAATGGTTGAATAGCATAAGGTCCTCCGGTAAATCCGAATCCAAGGTCTAAGCTTTGCAAGTATTTGTCATAGCTGTTTTCATAATCAGGATCCTTGTGATCAGTTTCCCTATCCTGAATATGGCCACTCTATTACTAGTTCCAAACCTAGCAATATGCTCCTTTTCAGTCATACTTCTAGCTAATCTATTGCTACCAGTTGAAAAAGAATCAAGGGCGCCTGGCTTTTCGTCTACGTTTGGAGCTCTTAGTGCACCGGGCTGGAAAAGTTCGAGCATCTTTAATTTACTTTCATTTTATCCATTATCACACCCGGCTAAATTATTAGAGCTAAAAATCCAAGCCCTTGCCCTATTGAATTCTTCTTTTCTTTCCCCCACACTTTTACAACTATTATTCTTTGAGGAGTTTGAACTTGAAGATCCACTTAACTAATAACCTTTATGTGGTGTCTGCTTAAAATCTGTAATTGGTTTTATTTGAGTCTAAATACTTGACCAATAACTACTTTTGATTGACATTTGTATTGGTTTGTCTTACTGCCTTTTAAAGGAATGAATATAATAGATCTTTTACTAACATAGAGGGAAATGTTTCATCTTAACCACAATACATATAAGCCTTCTATGCCAAGATTTAAAAGGTCTTGTGTACCACTTCAAATGTTGGCAAAGGGATGAAAAATTGGGAATGATCTCCTTATAAGTCAGTTCTTTTAGGTTGGTGAAAACATATCTGAAGATGTTAATGGAACTGAAGTAGATCTACATTTCAAGGTTCTAGTAAATTTAAATGATAAAGGTTTGACAATTAATAATCTTTTTTTATTTATTCTTATTTCACTTGATCATTTAATATTTCAAATTTTTCATAGTTTATGGACATGACTCTTGTACTTCTAAGATGAATATTGCATTTGAAAAATAAAGAGAGATAGAAATGTTATTGATGATGTTACCAAGAATCAATTGAGAGTTACATTGGAGAATTTTAATAGAAACAAATGGAAAAGGTATGTTTTCAACAATCGTTTTATTAGTTATTTTTATTATAACAGTTGAGATGAAAATTCTCATATTGAATGTGACAGCTCTTTTATTTCTCAAAAGAGAAGCTGGATTGAAAAAAGAGAGGAAGAAACATGTTGGATGATGTTGGTGATGATGAAATACAGTTTCATTCAAGAGCTCAATAAGATCCAAATGGTAAGTGTTTGGCATTTATTAGTTGTTTTTGACTTTTTTCAACTACCATTACTTTTATTATTTAATATTTGAACCAAATGTTCTTATTGTGGCAGGGTTGGCTTTGGTAATTCAAAAAATAATGTTCTGATTGAAAAGAAGTGACAAGAAGCATGTTTGATGATGTTCATGAACTCGAGTTTGATCCGAATTTTAGGAAAAATCCAACTCGTAAATGGTAATGTGTTATAGTTTGATTAACTTCTTTTTAACTAGTGTTTGCTGATCACGGGGTTTCCTTCTAACTCTATTAATGGAAAATTATGAAGAACCCTTAGTCCAGCACTCTTATTTTCTGACTTGTACGTTCCATGCACAAAATGAGTTTAATTAAGAAAAGAAATGTGAGTCCAGAATAGCAGTGCATTACTTGTAGTAGATTGACACCATATGCAAGGTTAGAGGATATATATAAGATGACAGGCTAGAAGAAGATTGACAGGATAAGTTATTGGTTTGCAGACTAATCTATTACACACAAGTATCTAAATATACATGCGGAAGAAATTTATAAAATTTTAATTTTCTGCTTGAGTTTTGATTTCTTGTGATCCTCTTTTTACAGGAAGAAATTTGTCAGATAATGGAAAAAGATCCTTCACTTTCTAACGTTGAGGTAAACTTTCCCATTTTTCTATTTCTGCCTAGCAGTGCAAGTACTGTTTTTGAATGGTGCAGTCAAAATGTAATTTTACACTCATTTTTTTTTGCAAGTACTTATCACTTCGTTAGAAAATCTGAGTTCTATGCTCTTTATTTCAGGATTTGCAGTTATTTAAAGATGGGAAGTTCCAGCAGTGTCGTAGAGTTGCTACTTTATATGTGATTTTGTATTCACTTTTTCATATAGTTGATGATACATGTACATGTTACAATAAATATTGAGATTTGATTTTACTTGTGTGGATGATTATTATATTGTGTCAATTTACAATGATTATTATATTTAAAAGATATTTGTTGATCGTTCAATCTATTGGAAGATTAAAATTTTGGTATGTGAATGCACATGTATTTTTATTTCATTTAGAATAAAGAATTGTATGAAAATTATAACGATGCTAAAATATCTTGTGGTTTTCAATAACAATGAAATGTTATATTGTCGTTAAAATCTAACGACGAGTATTTTTTTTGTCGTTATTAAGTAACGACGGGATCACATGTCATCGTTAATTATTAACGACGAACTTTGTCGTTATAACCAATAACGAGGGAAGCTATAACAACCACTTGACGACCAAAAAATATTGGTCGTTAAAAGCTTTCACGACAAACTTTTGGGCTTATAACGACAACTTTTTTCATGGTTAAAAGTCCTTTTTCTAGTAGTGTGTCCGACCATTTCCTCATTGCTTTACTAGCTACAATTTCTCCGTCTTGAGAATTTATCACGTAGTACTACTATTAGATAACATTTTACACCGCATCAAAGAATCATTTTATGCATGATTGCATACTTCACTTGGGTGAAATAAGAGATATTGGCCCCCAAGTTCACTTTGGTGCCAATTTTATCGATCACGCTTAAATGTCGCTTAAATGTTAGTAAAATGGATCTCAGTATTTCTCCCCCAAACTCTTTTTTCCTTAATCTTAACTCCTAAGAAGTCTCACCCTTTGGATTGGATTAATGGTTTCACCTATCAGGTGCCATTTGGCAACACTTTTGATGGATAGTGTACCCGGGGGTAGCTTATCCGAGGGATACCACGAGGGATATCTAGAGAGAAGTCCGAGCAATAAGTAAGAGAGAGAGAGAGTCAGAATGTATTAAATGAACTCGTTGTGTTTACAGAGGGAAAGAAGGCGCTATTTATAGCAGCCATAAATGCTAAGC